AGAGCCAAGTGAGAGCATAGGATCTCCCTCTGCCCGGGCACAGGAAAAAGGGCTGCACAGTCTCCATTGGGAGCCTCTAATATGGGACAAAAGCTGCTTCAAATTAGAACGAAGAAAGGGACACTGTATCACTGTATTCCCACAGTACAGGGGTCCGATATCTGCATGACAATTCAATTCATTGCTGTCTTACAAGGGGGGCCGTGTTTGTCTGTCTGTAGCAGTAGAAAAGAGCAGGAATCTAGTAGCACCTTAAAGACTGACAAAACCTGTGGCAGGGTATGAGCTTTCGTGACTCACTGCTCGCTGCAGTGACTCACGAAAGCTCATCTCCTGCCACAAGTTTTTGTTAGTCTTTAAGGCGCTACTGGATTCTTGCTCTTTTCTGTTACTAAGGGTAGCAAAGTGTATAATCTATTCATGAAGCATCTAGCCTAAAATTAAAACTTCTAAATTAGAAGTCCCTCATCTTTAATTTAACTTCAGAAACTTTTCGTTGAATTTTTAAAGCTCAACTTGGTACAAGTAAAATGTTCCAGATAGAGATTAGCTGGATGTCACCCTGGTAACATCTTATCTGGCATTGCTGAGTTACTCAGTTATGGGGGGGTTGAGTGCCTTTAGTCCAGCTGAATGTGTGTGCCCCCCCCCCACCTTGTGCTTTGCATTTTGGCCTCCATCCATGGACCAAGCAGCCTCACCACCTCAGTTCTGGCAGGCAAGAGTCTTCCCCTTTGCTCTTTTGCCCCTCAAACTCTTTTTGTTGCTCTCTGGTATCCTGGGAGCTTCCAAGCACATCAGCTGAAGAGCTGCAACTCCTAACCAATGCATAACCATCCCTCTGAGCCTCAAGGTGCCTCATTTGTGTTCCTCACTGTGCTGTAGTTACTGCCACAGAGGAACTTTTGGATAAGTGGCACCCCTTTTTTCCTCAGTCCCACCTAGAAAAAGCTCCACCTGTTCCACTAGAAGATACTTTGACAAATACAACCCTCCATCTTTCAGCCTCACCACAGGCTTTCTTCTCAGAGCCCATGGGATAGAGCAGAATATACTTCTCAGTAAGATATCCAGGATGACGAGGAAAAAAGATCTGGCTATAAGGGGTTGGCTCCTTTCCGCTAAGTGAAGAATCTTCTTTCTGTGCGAGGTGACCTTCCTTTGACGATCAATTCCTCACTTGTCAGAAGGGATAGGATCTAACCCAGGATCCTGGGCAGTTAATGGAGTCTGCCTTTTCAAAGGGAACACCTCACTCAATCCGACTTTGAATACAGGCTTGCCAACCTCCGAGTGGCGATCAAACAGAAGGACCACAGTGTGAAGATTGGAATAAAAAAACTTGTGTGAATGTTGTTGCCAATGTAAAACATATAGTCGTCAAACTGTACATTTTTTTTGTACTTCTGGACAGAATCTTGCCAGCTGTTAACCTTGTTAGGCTGTGTGCCATGTTTATGAAACGCTGGCAATTCCCTCTATTATGAAATAGCTGTATCTGATGAAAATATGTGGAACCTGTTGATTGTATAACAACAGATTGAACATGATAGGCATTCTATTTTGAGGCTGTAAGACCTCAAGAAGGCATCAAAAACAAGGTTACACCAGTTCTCACAGTCTTACAGTTCTTTTGCTGTCTTCAGAGACCTCTAGATTGTTTGCCGTTTTTTGGCTGTTTTCAAGATTTCAACTTTCGTTATAATCACGTGTTATCCTTGAAAGAAAAATTATTTATGTAATTGATATTCTGTATACAAAAATATTCCTTTGAATACAGTGTTTTATATTTGTTGATGGAAACAGAAGTACAAAAAATTCTAAAGTTTGACTACTATATGTTTTACATTGGCAACAACATTCACACAATGTTAGTTTTGTTATTTCAACCTCTGGGTGGGGCCTGGGGATCTCCTGCTTTTACAACTGATCTCCAGCTGACAGAGATAAGTTCCCTTGGAGAAAAGGGCTGCTTTGGAGGGTGGACTCTGTGGCATTGTACATTGCTGAGGTTCCTCCCTTCCCCAAACCCCGCCCTTTCCACCCTCCAAATCTCCAGGTATTCCCCAACCCAGAGCTGGCAACTCTACTCAGATATCAGACATTGTCCTGTTACTGGCAGGACCACTTGTCTGAGGATTCAAGGGCAGACTGAAGGCATCACGGCTATCTCAGTTCACAGAAGCTCCACAAGGATCAGCCTTTGGATATGCAATCAAAACAGAGGCTAGAAGATCAAAGTCACTATCCCAGATGGCACGGAGAGACAGGCCTCCTCTTAGAATGTAATGAATTTAACTTATTAATTTCTAGAAGAGGGGAAAACAAAACAGTCAATGAAGACCAAAATCAGTCAGCAGGTAAAAATTATACTTTTATTTTCAAATTGGCATAAACCAGAAGAGAGCTGGAATTATGACTGATTCTATGGTGCCACTGAAAAAGGCCCAGATGACTTTTGGAGAGGGCATGCAAGCCCGTAAAGAAGAAAAACATACAGACAACAGATGAAAACCCCAAAATATACTCAAACCGATTTTTTAAAAAGAATCATTCTAATAGACACTGAAATCTAGCTCAGAAAGCCAAGATGTACAGACTTTACGTGAATAAAAATGGCTACACGGATGCGACTTAGCTGTTTTTGTTGGCTTTTAAAAACATTTTATTTATTTAAATACAGGTTTAGGTACTTTTCAGCTATTGGAAAAAAATAAAAACGCAAAAGTGCATAAGTCAAAGAAGGCAGAAAAATAAATCAAGCAGTGAAAAACTTTCTTCCACAGCAGGAGTGAAAAAGCTAGGAGAGTAAAAAAAAAAAGGTGAATATTGTAATTTTATTTGGTCCTCTAAAAATATTTATTCACATTATGATATTTTGCATCTTCCTCGTGAGAAAAAAAAGCTGTCCTCAAGGATTGTCTATACATGATTTTGCCTCATCCTAACTAGCTACAAAGGAAACAGCCACTGCTAAGCTTGTGCTTCTGTCTTAGCACCAAGGATGTGACTCCCCTGTCCCCTTCCCAACTGAGTCACTCTTGTTGGCACCTTGAGAAAGGTCACCTCCAAGGCTAGAAGGTCCCCAGACACCTGCAGATCTCCAAAAAGTCAAAAAAGCCACTGCTGCTACTTTCTCTGCATCAAACACATTATTTCCCTTTAGGGGTACAGATCTGGTGGGGAGGAGACTGAAAGTGCCCTCCTTCTAGCACATTTCTCACTAGTGCAAAGTCTATGGGGGGAAGTAGGGGAAAACCTATTCAAAAACCATTTGTGCTTCCACAACCGTTACGATTTGGTAACTATTTCTGCCGGCTAAGATCTGCAAGTTGGGGTGCGTGGGAAGTTAATAATTCAGTAGCTGCAGGGATCCAGACAAATGTTTAAAACTCTCCTGTCGGGTGATGTTAGAAGGCAACACACTGGGATTCCTTCCCAGGTACAAAGAGATGCAGGAAAACCTCTGGAGGAACGAAACGAAAAGCATCTTGTTGCTTTCAACTCTAGGGAGGGGGCCTAGAAACCAAGGGAGAATGCTCTGCTCTAATTTTCACTCCTCTTGCTAAGAGACAAAGTGGATGCTTTGTACTATTAACAACATTTATTTTCTTTGCACTGAGGTCCACAGAAAAAGTAGGGGTCATATACGGGATGCTAACCCTTGATGTGCCTTTGGGCACAGAAAGGGGGAAGGGAAAAGCAGATAATGAGCACGTAGCATGCAAGAAGCTGTGGAATGGCAGAGAATCTGTGCAGTCAATGCAAGTTTCAGTTTGGTCCTTGTGTGTTCCAGCTTTCTGGAGAGGTATTAGATTGAACACCTAAAAACTGGAGGAAGTTCAGTGGACCCAAACACCTCCCCTTGAATATACCTTTGAAAGGCAGCCTTTAAAAAGCAGATTTCAGACGCTCACTTCCAGAGACCCACACGGTCACAAGAGGCAGCCATTCACTCTGACTTGGTGGGTTACATTTAAGACACAGGGATTCCCCACAGGTCCCTTCCATATGGGCAGCGATTTGCAGACATCACTTGCAAACACGGAAGAGGCATTAGCTCCACAACCCCTATGGAAATAGCTCAGCTGTCAGATCCATGAACTGCCAAGCCACTTCCAGAGGAATGTGGTCCTGCAGAGGAGCAGTTTGTGCATTACTTTTCAGGCAGAATTTGTCCTTCTTGGCCAACACAGGAGTGATTTTGGAAAGTCACTGCCAATCTTTAAAACGCAGTGCAAAAAGCCACTACGAGCACAGAATGGAGACTTTCAAGGATCTAGTGATCTGGGGAATGGCAGCGTCCCTGCCCCCCCCCCCCCCCGCTTTCCTACCTGCACACTCTCATGCACGCACACACCACCTCATAAGGTTCCAGTTAGAGAAGTTCCCTGCCATTCTCACATGAGCACAAGTTGCTTTTGGTCCATGATGCTACCCCAAGCCAGCAACAGCACTTGCCAGCTAAGTACTAAAGAGACGGTAAGAGGTATATTTCTAGTGCAAGGTAAGGTATATGTGCTCCCCTGACCCTTTCATCCAAATTGCCAGGCTGGCTGGAGGGCAGCGGAGAGAAGAGAGAGGGCTGTAAACATTGTCTGGCTCAGAAAAGGTACAAGAGAGGGAGATGCTGTCGTCTACTGGTCTGCCTCTTGGGTTCACGGGAAAAGTGCTCCATCAACCTTTGGTGGATCCCCACGAACAACACCGACAGAAGAAGGTGAATTGGTCCCAAAGACAGCATTGCCAAGTGTGGCTCTTCTTGCCTAAGAAAGAAAGGGGCTGCTACGGGTAAAATGGCTATTTAGGGAAGTGCCTGCCTGTCTTTACATCTTAGGTGCCAACAGAATTCAGGTCATGGGGGGGGGGAAGCATGTATGTGATACACACAAGCACCAGAGGCTTTAAGAGAGGTGGCTGTATGCATCGTTAGCTGGGTGATTCTTGCATAGGCTGGCTCAAAAGTCATTCTAAAGCTGTTTGGGGAGAGGGGGCAGTAAGCATTTGGAATATCGCTGTCCCTCCCTCATGCTTCCTCCAGCCCAGAGGTAGAGCACCAAAGGGGAGCTGTGCAAACTGGTCCTCCTGATTGGTAAGATCTTACGCTACACTGGAAGCCCAGGGCCCTTTCTGCTCCAGACTGCTTATCCTTTCACAGGAATGCCAGTGAGTGCAACTCTCTCCCAACCCTGCCAAAGTAGACACCCGCTCTTGCTTAGCCCTGGCATCCCGAGCCAATGCTGGGGTGTGTTTGCTACAAGTCACCCCTTTCCTTCTCCGAAACTCTCTCCTGCCATCCTTCACATTCAGCACTTAAAACTGGCCTTCAACTTCCTTGTAGACATTACAGATATGCTGTTTTGTACAAGCAAGCAATAGAAGATGGTTCCACCAAAGGCGTTAAAGTGAAGTATGTGTTTTCTCTTTGATTTTTGTCAAGCTGATATTTAAAATGTTATAGAAAGGAAGACAGGGGAGTCAAGGTTCACATGCAAACAATAGCCCTGGGGCAAATTTTTCTAGAGGAAAATTGGTCAGAGGCTCTCCCCAAGTTACTCAAGGCCCTACAGCCCTAAAAGCAAATATGGCACCGGGTTTGTTCCCCTTAGGCCTCCCTTGTTCCTATTCCCATGTAGAAGTTTGGTTAGATCAGGCTCACTTAATTCAGAATTCAAATCACTTCCCAAAATGGCAGGTCCCGGGGGAGGGAGGAGAGCACAGTGCCAAGTCCCATGAAAGCAGAGAGAGGGGATGGAAGGACAGCTGGTCTTTTAAAAAAAAGTTTTACAAGGATAGTTTGAAAAACAGCAAGAGAGAGAGACACCCCAATGTCAAATGCCTCCAAAACAAGGCTATGTTGGCAGAAGAATAAAAAAATGGCCATGCCAGAGGCTCAGAACAAAGTAACCGATGTGTGACAAGAGACAGCAGAGAAGGGATAATGGAACGAGAAGCACACGATGAGAGCCCTTCCCCCTGCTTGCTTCCAGGGCGGCACCCAAGCAAGGCTCATATAGCCTCCACGTAGTTGGCGGGAAGCATGCCTGTGTCGCCGGTCCGCTCAACGGTGCCGTACATCCAGCCGTCATCGATCTGCTGCACGTTGATGATTGTGTCACCGTCCTGGAAGGAGACCTCGTCCTCATCTGCCGCGTTGTAATCGTAGACCGCACGGAACCGCTTCTGAGGTTTTAGGGTAGAGGGCGTAGGGAGGAGAAGAGACAGATCAGTGCTCAGGGATCCCCACAGGTGTTGCGTGAAAAGCAAAAGCAAACGCAGACTAATGCTGCTCAAGTTGGGCCTGGTTCCAGGGAGTGCAGTTCGTACACGGAGGCAGTTAAGAATCGGGGGAAAGGGCCATGGTCTGCCAGTGACCAAAGTATCAGGGGGACGTGGAAGGTAATCTCCTGCCTCTGCCCTGACTGGCGCTGGAGGTACTGAATCACAGAAATGGTAGCAGCCAATAATTGACATCTAGTTCTACTGGATAGGAGTAGCTACTTCAGACATAAATAAAAGAACAGTTTCTAAGAACTGTCTCTGGGCACTGGCAGCCACCACAAGCAATGATGAATGGGACTTTTTGACTCATAACACTCCCCGCCACTTCAGTAACACATTATGCTTCAATCAAACTACCAGTGGGCGACGAAGACGAAAGGAAAGCCATTAAATCCATAGCTAATCTGGTGCTATGCTACCATAATGGCACACTGTGACCTGGGACCTATGGGATGATGTGGAGGCAGACTTTGGCCAGGGAACAGGACTGGACTTGGGGGGACTTTATTGTCACAGCCAATGGGACCAAGGCTGGCACTAAAGGCAGAGATGGCCTTAGACTGTGGCCCAAATTTCAATGCAACCATGGACTCTATGGGGAGCTAAGAGCAGGATGACACCATCTTTCAGACTCTGTTTTCATGGGGGGGGGTTGCCCCCCACCTGGATTTTAAATGCAAATCACCGTGTGCATTCAATGCCACCAATGTGCTTTGCATATACACCTCACATTGTCTGTGTGGCTGCGTGGTGTGTTCCTGGAGTCAGGTGATTTACTTTGAAGGGATCTTCCTCTCCTCCACAAGATTAGAAAATTATTAAAGAATTGTATTTCCTCGTCTGAACCTTCTGTGTGCTCTTGTGAAAACCCATTAACACCATGCACATCTCCATGCAAGCAAGGAGACACTCACAATAGGCAAGATGTCATTAAAACGATCCGATCCGCTTCCCTGGCCACAAAAAAGGGTAGCTAGCCCTCGGTTCCCTGATTCCCCCTGAGTTGCACTCACCCCTCCTCCGGATGGGGCATTGCGCTGTACAGAGACAGGTGCTGCTGGCTCCTTGTAGCCATAGGACTGAGATGCTGCTTGTTGTGGTGGCTGGTGGTGGTACACTGGGGAAGACAAGAAAACAGTCAGCCAACTCTTGGTGATTGATGGGATTGCAGGGCAATGCATGCCCTAGAACCCAATACAGAATTCCAGCTTCCACCTGAGACAAAAATTCTGTTGGGTCTTCTGCTCTGAATGGCCTCAGCCATAGAACTGTTCCAACCATTCCAAGAAGAACCTACACAGGCAACAGAGACTTGGTTCTTGGGGAGTTAACGGAGGCCACAAGTCGACCCAGCTATTCAACAATTGCTGCAAGGGTCCCCCCCCCTCCCTCAGCTCAAGAATGACCCCAGCTCATTTACCAGGGGTACTTGGTTGGATGTGGTGGGGCTGCTGGTGTGGTGGCTGCTGCTGCTGCTGCTGCTCTGCTGGCCTCCTGTAGTTGGCGCCCTCCTGGGAGTTGCGACGCTCCAGTTCCCCTCCTTCCCCACCAGGTGTGCCCATCCGGCTCTTTTCAAATTCTTCATGATACTTTATCTACAGAGGAAGGACAGGAGATAACATTAGAACAATAGGAAATAACATTAGAGCTGATAACCGGTCTCCAATGGCAAGTCTTTGAGTTTGGTCAGCGAGGAATGATTTGACCCAGTGCAGCGCACAACCCCCTGAGATGCCTACTTCTGCCTCCAAGAGCCTCAACAAGATGGCATGGTCTACTGTATCAAAGACAGCAAATAAACATCAAATAGCAGCAACAAAGAGGCCTGGCCTTTGTCTACGTTCAGATGGAGGTCTTTAACGAAAGCCAGCAGGGCCAACTCCATCCCACAGCCTGGTCTGAAGTCAGACTGAAAACCAGAGCAGATGAATTACCCAAGGCCACCTAGAGTTGGTGACGTGTTACTGCTCTCTCAATCACTTGGCCCAAGAAGGGAAGAATAGAGGCAGAGTGCTAATTGGCTACATCATCTTCTGCCCTCACCCTGATCCAGATGAAACTCCGTGGTTGAGATCATTGTGCTGACAGTCATTAGAAGCTGCAGACAAGTGACCAAATAACAATCCAAAGGCTGGGAGGTTGAACAAATATAGGCTGTGCCCTATTAACCTGAACCCTGTCTCGCTCACTCTGAAACTCTTCTTCCCTTCATTCAAAACTGAGAGGGTACTGAAATGCAGCATGCACACCAGCAGGTGGCAGCAGAGAACCATAGCAGTGCCATGTTAGGAGGACTGTCACCATCTCCCCCATTCTGGCGGGGAATGGGTGTGTGTGTGGGGGGGGGGAGAATAGCTTGGCACATACTGCAAAATCCAGTGCCAGTCAATCCCTCCCTTCAGACGTCTGGGCTGCCCTTTTCTAGCCTGTAGCCAAGAACACAAATTGCTTCAAACAAAATTTTGGAAAGATGCTTTTAGACAGATGTTTGTTCATTGCACGTCAAAAACCGACACTTTTCAGGAGCTGAAACAAAAGGAGGGCAGCAGCTGGGAGAGGGGGATTATTCGCTCTGTCGGAAACCGGCATGTGCAGGTTGGCAAGGCAAATATGTGCCCCTGCAGCCTCCTGGGTCATTTTGGTGGCCGAAAACAATGTGGCGGGGGGCAGGAGCTCCTCATTCCCCATGCTGTGGCACCTACCAGAACCAGGCCCATCTGCATACGGGAAGTTGCTACTGGAATTTGCAACTGCAGTATGGCTACAAGTGTAAAAAGTAATGCTCAGTGTTGAAAGCCACATTTCTCAGAACATAGCCATGCTACATTCCAGCTTTAGAAAGAGGGACAGAATCCATGCACAGACAAACCCAGGTTGCTATTGGTAACCTCCCTCCATCTACAATCACGTTCCATCACAGAAAAGTTTGCCTTATGTTATTAAAGAAAAGATTCAGCCCTCTGTAATAACAGCTCTGCTAAACAACCCAGGTACGTTTCTGTCATTATACCCCTGAACCTTAGGATGAGGCAATGCATCACCTGGAGTGTGACAAGGTAGGTGAAACAGAATTGAGGGCATGCTGTGTCTATGCAGGTATATGGGAATTCAGATAAGGGAAGGCACTGAACAGGGGAGTGCTGGGCTCAAGACCAGTGTTCCCAGCCACTCATTGACACAGGAAGCCCTGCTCAGCAACAACCTGGAGCCGCAGAGGGTCTTGCACTGCCCATTGCCCATTTAAAGATTACAGCAGTTATATTCTGCTCAGGATGTGAAATGCTCCACTCAGTGGGGGGGGGGGGTTTAGAGGGAACACTGCTCAAGACCGTAGCATATCTCCCTACCCTTGGGTGAATCTTGTCCTAGCCATCATCCTTTACACTCAGTTTTCCCAACAGCTCTATATGAATAGTGACCACCAGTCCTCACAACCACCCTGTGACAGGAGGAGAGAGGCAAGGATGGTAGAAAAGAATCTACAAAATGGGCTGGATCCAGCCCCCACAGGGCTTGTATGCGGCTCGCGAGCAACTGGCTGTTGTCTGCTTCCTTCTCCTTCTCTCTTGCTTCCTTCTGTGTCACAGTTTGTTTTGGTAGGGTCTCTCAATCACACAGGAGCTACAGAGCAAAGCCTTTCTTCCTTCCATTGGCTGAGGCTCCTTCCTTGGGAAGGAAGGGGGGGAGGGAGGGAAAGGGCAAGCGCTTCTTTTTCTTCCATTGGATGAGGCTCCTTCCCCTCCTCATCCCCTGGGGAGGAAGAGAGGGGGTGGGAGGGAAAGGGAAAGAGCTTACTTTGCCCAGTTCCCTCAGTCGAACAGAAGAGCTACAAAGCACCTTTAAGACCAACAAAGCTTTATTCAAGGTATGAGCTTTTTGCCTTGCTACGGGGGGAGGAAAAGAGAGGAAGAGAGTTTTGTTAGGCTCATTATGCCAGGGCTCTCCTGGATGCAATTGGGTTCCCCTCCTCTCTCTCACTGCATTCATGCCCTCATGATCCAGTCTTTCTCAGTAGGAAAGCCATGTGAACTATTTAGATGAGGAATAACAAAAGGCCAGTGAGGTGGATTAGGCTGAGAGACCAAGTTCACCCAGCATATTTCTTTTGCAGACTGGGGATTCTGAATTTAGACTTCCCAAATAGTGGGCTGATACTGACCACTATACATTGTCATCTCTCTATACTTGCAGTGTCTTGTGCTGTCTCTCTATTCTTGCACTGGCTTATAGGAGTTGTAGTTATTTCTCTGGGGAAGACTATAGTTTTGTAGACAAACACATAGCTCTCAGTCTGTGTCATGGTGCCTTCACATGTACTTGACCAGCACACGAAGCGACATATGTGACAAAAGCTTGCAATGCCCAGCCATTTCATGTTTTCCCCTTAGGCTCAGAACCTTGACCATGAGATTTCTGTAATGAATCAAAAGTAGGTTTGCAACGTACAGATAAACACCTGAACAACACCTGAACAGCATACTCAAGATTGCTACAGCACACTGTCTCCAGATTTTAATGCAATAGTTCAGAGCAAGAGGTGTCAGTTATCAGAGACTGTTAAACAAAATATTGTAAGAGTGCTAATATTTTAAGCATGTTTTATTTTAAGTTTTCAAAAATATGTGTGTGTGTTTGTGTCCTTTATAAAGTTTATAACTCCACTACCTGGCATTACATTTTATGACACACATGGCCTGGCCCAACAAGGTCTCATTTATGTCAGATCCGGCCCTCATAACAAATGAGTTCGACACCCCTGAGCTATGAGGTACAATCTGAAAGTTGGAATCTTATGTCTTTGCAGTGCATAATTTATTCTGCTTCTGGTAGCTTAGGAAAGGGTTGAGTCAAGCTCAACGGTGCTCTCTCAGACTACCGCAAATCCTGCCAGATCTCCACTTTTGCCCTCTGGCTCCTGAAGCATCAACAAACAACTGCTCACATTGTTCAAGCTCATCTTTGCACCCACAAAGGAACACACATAGTTCTGCTTAGGTGTCCCCTTATTTAGTGGTGCACTCTCTCTCCTTTCCTGTAACAGGTGATGGAGAATCCCCTTTTTAAGGTTCCAGGTTACTGAGTATAACCAATATGAAGGCGGAATGAGTCAGAAGATGGATCTCCCCTACTACCCACCCACTGGTGTGCCTATGCTGCTCCGGAGATTTCGCCAAGGAAACTAGGGCAAACTGAGTTATACCAAGTCATGATCGGAGAGCCCCTTTCCCAAGGCAAACATTCAATATCAGCCTGCAGAGGCTTACAGTCAAGAGGGGACTGAATGGAATTTGTAACTGAAGAGGGAAACAGCAAAGCAAAAGGGTAATTGCTCCATTAAAGAGCTCAAGCGTGGTGAGCAAAAGGCTACAGGGCAGAGGGCCTGGGAAGGGTCTCCCTGTGAGACGGAATTTGGTCTGCTGGGCTCACCCAGAATTAACTCCCAGAGTGCCAGCTCACACAAATGGCTACAGCCAATGATTAAGGGCAGATCAACAGGCCACAAGGAGATTTTTTTTTTAGACAGCTAGGGTTATATTGAGTGAATGTAAAGAAGCCACCACATATTTTCACTCACTGGAGTCTTGGATATCCAATTCTTTTTGCTAGCTTGCACTATGGTTACCATTTTGTCCCTTCTATACACTTTTATTTTTCATACCTGTTAACCTCTCAATTCTGGAACCCTTTCTCCCCACGGTTTCATCACTTGGCGTGATCACCACAGCCCAAGTCAGTGAGATCCAGTGGAACGAGTCTTGCTTGGCCTTAGAGATCATGGGTTCAAATCCCAGTTTAGCCAAGTGCTTACTCAGAGGCCGTGTGGCAGTTACCCTTGCAAACAAACACATTTGCTAGGGGCATAAACTTTTACAACTCAGAGCCTGTTATAGGATGCATGACCACTTCATCCTCTGAAGAAATGGACTCTGATCCACAAATGTCACAATACATTTGTTGATCTCTAAGGCGCCACAATACTTGTTTTTACAGCAACAGACTAACACAACAACCGTTTTTGGATTCTTGGTTTCCCCTCTATAAAATGGGAATTAAATGCTCTTAACCAGAGCAGGGGTGAGGTGAGTGAAGCACACCCATGTATCTGATTATTTATGTTCCAGCCAATTTGTAATTTTACACTTGTGCCTTAGAATGGGAAACATGCCTAATGTTGAATTTAAGTACTTTGTTCCACTTGTTTTCCAATAATTTGTATTGGCACTTTCACTATTCAAAGTACTGGATTTGGACCCAAGAAACTGAGGCTTAGATCTCTAATCAGCCATTAAGCTTACTGGGCACTCTTGGGGAAAATACACAGACACACATACACAATCCTATCCTGTAGAGCTCTTGTGGGAAAAGGAGCTGCAAAGCACTTTCCATGATGAAACATACAACAGTGACTATCCCTGGAAAAGCTGAGGACATACTCTGGTCTGGTTTTGCCATCTCCCTACATCCTAGAGGAAGTCAAGTTCTGTCTCCTCCTCTCACTGGGTCCTTAACAACTGGCATCGTCACACCTGTCCCACTCCATTACAACTTCCAGCAAAAAGACCTGTGAGCCCCCCCCCCCCCCCCCCACCCCCGACACTGGGTTCAAATCCCTCAGTGCCTGGCTGCCAGAACTGCTGCATACAATTGGCAGTAGAACAGAGGTCAAGGGGAAATCAACCGAAGGCAACAGCAGGAGGCAGTTTTAAAATCGGTGAGCATGTGTGTGTTATTGGCTGTAGTTTCTGGGCATGAGACACGCAGCAGAGTTGAGACAGAGTTGCTCAGCCACCCCATGGGAGGAGAAGCAGGCCTCCTGGATCTTTACAGACACAAACTAGACTGTATGTGGCTCATTTATGATGCACTATTCTGACATAAATCACATGCTATTATGCTCAAGCACTCGGACTTGAGCTCTTCTGAGAAAGTTCAGATTTTAATGCTTACCCATACCGCAAATTATTCATATTGGGGGGGGGGGGGACGGACGACAAGAATACAGAGCAAATCTTCTAGACTACATTGCCAGAGTTAAGTGCCAAAAGCAGGCTCAAAAAGGTCTCCAGTTTAACAGCAGAAAGTTTCCAGCCCTCGTGATAAAAATGGAGGCATTTTTTCCAAATCTTCATAAGCAGTCAGAAAGTGGTGCTCTAGTCAGCTCTTCCTCATGCCTCTAGCATGCCTTCTGCCCCACGTTCTGCAATTTACAACATGCCTTAGTCTGTGATAACAAACATGAAGTTAATGTGTCCTTGAACCAAAAAAACTGCAGTAGGAAAACTAACTCATATTTCCTGGCAAACATCACATCCCCTTTGTTAAAAATGTTTGCTCACCCCTACTGGCAGGAGGACGAAGTGGGGAATTAAGTTATACAAGCTTATTCTTTCGCCAAAATTGGATGATTTAATGGGAGTCTACCAATTCTGACAATGTGTTGCAGTAGTTGCAGCAGCCGAGGGAGAGAAAGCCAAGTTTAAGCAGTTTTGCATGTAATAAACTGTATAGGTACACAGAAAGCCATATGCAGGACAGCTTACGTTGCTGATTTGATCCTGAGTCTTCTTGATTCGCTGCAATTCGGGGGTATCAGCCACCACACTGAAGCCCTTCCCTTTGTTCTTTTCAAACTCCTCCTTGTAGCGAACCTGCACAAGCGAAAGAGTATTATTAACAGAGAGAAACTCATCTTCCTCAGCTTCAGCAGCCCCATTAACATATACAAGTCTCCAGAGGTATGAGGTGAATGGAGAGGGAGGATTGTGGGTCACCATTCCCCATAGCAACAGAATCCACAACTGTGGTGGGGCAGAAGCACCTAGAATTCAATAAGGATGAGTTGGAATAAGTGAATGAGTTACAGGGCAAACACCCAGTGTTCTGTTTTTTGGAAGCAAATATCTAGCCAGACAGTTAAAAAATTTTTTAAAGCCCTGCTACCAACCACAATGAAAGCACAATGAAATCCATCCGTTTCATAAGGACAAACCTGTGCTGTTGACATTTTCAGGGCTTGCTTAAGAACAAAGGCTCAGGTGAGGTCGGGTCAGGCTTTGAGAAATCATGTTAGACTTAACCTCATGGGGTGTTCATGTGTTTTGGCTTGGAATATGTTTTGAGGGAAGAGGGCGACAGGCAAGAAAACAGGGCTAGCTAGTCTGCTAGGATAGGAGGCGTATGAGAAAAACACAGAAGCTCCTTCTGTGCGAACCTCTGGGTTCCTCAACAGGGATGCAATGATGAGAGCTAGGATTTTTGTTCTTTAAGCACAAATTCTGGAATTTATGCAAGTGCGGTTGTTTTTTTGATTTATTTTTAATATCAAATGAACAGCATTAGTCACTGTCCCAACTTCCTTTAATTTTTGTCATATGAGAGGAAAAAACAAATGCTTATTGTGGAGACAGTCGCTTTTAAACAATATATTTGAAAGTACATTTTATATGTCTACAGTATACAAAGGAAATTATTTTTATTTACTTTATTTATACACCACTTTCCCCCACAATGGGGACCCAAAGAGGTTACCTCTTCCTCCCCTCCTCCACTTTATCATCACAGCAACCCTGTGAGGTAGCTCAGGCGGAGAGCGTGTGACTGGCCCAAGGTCAACCGGCAAGTTTCTATGGCAGGGTGGCTAGAGCTCCCCACCTGGGTGTCCCAGGTCCTAGTCCAACACTCTAAGCACTACAACACTGATCTCAGTATGGTGCAGAAATTAGTCCAATGAAGATTGTCTTACATAAAAGTCTTCAAACCACATGTTTTGAGTAAGCAAAAACTTTGCCTTAAAAAGCATTATGTTCATTCTAAAAGAGAAAATATTTCATTGCCGTTTCCTCCCCTCCTTTTCTTGTGATGTCTCAAAGCTTCTAATTTTTCCACTGGAAAAACTGAAATTGTCTCTGGGGAAATTTTTTTCTATGCATTCTTCCACGCTTTCACATCTCTTGCTCCCCTTTCTAAGCGCTCGTCATGGCTTCTAGATGTAGTCTAACACAGATGAACCCCAACTTCCCTCTCGAGCTTGGAACTGGAGAGATCAAGGAAGGACCCTCCCCACAGTCATTGTATTCCCTAGGGCCAAAATGCATTGCAACTATAAACTGTATAATCCCCTTCCTTCAACCCTAGCTCAGAAGGCAGCGGGGTGTGTGTGTTGTGTGTTGTGTGTGTCACCACAGCAAGCAAATTTGTTAGTTCCTGCTAACGCACACTTCTTTGTCATATGAAATGTAGGACCAGACCATAAGACGCTATCAATGAACTGTTGTATGCTTTCCCCTTGCTAGTGTAGTCTCAGAAGACAGCATTACATTCTTCCTGCTACTTCATTTTCAAGTGCTCCAACTCACATGCAGAAGTCTGAACATGTTCACCATGATCTTTGTGATGCCATCAAAACTGATGGAGCTCTGTAGCTGCCAAGGCTTAAGGGCCAAATATAGCCCCCCACATGTGTTTTAGCTAAATAAACTGCCACTTCATAGGAACCATCAGATTTTATTATCTCCTTAACTACAAGATTGCTATTTATTGTGTGGGCCAGCCAATTGTTCTAAAATACCCTCCTGCTTTCAATTAGTTTGCCTACAGCTTTAATCCTGGGGCTACCCCTTGAAACTCCTTTAATGTGATCATAAGGGTCAGATTGAGACAGACCAGCAATATTTGTGAATTGCTAAAGTACTGAGAAGTTATCTCATGAGCCCAGAAATGGAAAGCCTATGATTGCCAAACTAGTTCATGGACACAAAAGAATCTCCTATTCTAAAAATCTGCCCAAGTCACATGGTTTTAACAGCTAGCTAGTTTTTTAGTTTTTTCCTCAGGTGTTCTGTTGATTTAGTTTAAGTTTGTATTTTATTTCTTTTTCCCTGTGACCCACCTTCAGCACACACATGAAAAGATGGGATGTAGCTGTTCTAAATAAACACATTTTTATCCTGCTGTTCCTTCAAGGATACCTCATTTTACTGTTCTCATTGTTATCTTCAGCCCTGTGGAGAGGGCTGGGCTGAGAGGAGAATCATTGGCCTGAAGTCATCCAGGGAGCTTCACAGTTGAGTCAGAATTTGAACTCTGCCTCCCAAGTCCTAGTCTGATCCTCTAATACAGTGATACTTGCTCGATGGCTCAGGAGGCATCTGAGCACCTGGCATCCACCCCATGCTCCAGGAAAGCGGGTAGCTTTTTAAAGAAATGGGAATAATCTCATCATTACTATGGGCCCAAGATAGAACTGCTTCATTTTGAAAACGAAACACAACTTGTCCATGATGTTTGTATCTTTGGTTGCACAGTTGTATGGGTCCTTTATATGAGGCTGGGTCATCACATGCAGCTGAATCAGGTGGTGGCAGAATGAGGCACACCACATGCTAATCCATAAAGCAAAGTAGTGCAGAGACACAACCCAACATGCTCAGAGGTTCTCTGGTAATTAAAGGGGTTATATTATAGTTATATATTACTGTCTGTGTGCATTTGAGGCCATATGCAGGGCATGTACTAGTCATGTGGCTCTTTTGGTTGATGGGATTTGAGAATGTGGCTCTCCGTGGTCCATGGAGTAAGGACCACTGTGAGTCTAATCACTGCACAAAGACTAGCTCATCCTAACAGTACCTAAACTATAGCAGACATAGGACAGCATATTCATTTTAAACATACAAGCCAAGTCCCCTACCCAAATTAATTTTACATTTGGCAATGACATCAGATATACAGATAAGAACAATGGATGTCATGATGGTCCAAGCAAGAGCTATGATAGCATGTAAATGTCTTCTTTGACGAAAGATTCTGCGCCACGCTAAATTTAAGTTGCTCTGGCAGAGAGATAATTCTTTACTCAGCTACCCAATCCCTTCGAGAAAGGACCAAAGCCCTCAAATTGGCTGCCCACTGGCTGTAAACAACCATTCTGGCATTCCCACTGAGACCCAGCAGAGGAGAAGACAGGGGGCCTTGTTCTCAGAGACAGGAGAGAGACAGCCACAGCTGCAAGCAGCTTCCTGGATCTCAAACGTTTGAGAGGCTTCAGTAAGTAGGGTACGCCAATACAGAGCTCTAGTGTGAGGTTAACAGGCCCTGAAACCTACACAATTTTGATTTTAGTAAACAGACGGATCATTCCTGGCAATGTTCCAAAGTGTACTTATCCTGCTAGAACTGAGAGAACAACTCCAGCAAAAAAGCAAGATGCTCTCCTGCCTTCCAAAATGGATATAAGTAGCTTTGTATATGGCATCTGCCACAACAGCATCAAAGGGAGGCTAGGCAGAGTAGGCAAACATCTGGACTGACTGGGCTTGGTGTAAGAGTAGGTGTGGTGTTTTGCCATGTAAATACTCTGTGCGTGTGCTTTATTTCTATGTTTTAATGTGGAGTTTTAAATGTACATTGCTGTGATCTAAAACATAGGCCTGCAGAGTAAGAAAGAGGGGGGCTGGAAGGGTGAGGCAAGTGATAAAATAAGCCCGTATGGTTAGGTCTACTTAAGGAACCATTACACTTCTGTACCTGTCTGAATCCATTCAGCTAATTAGCCATACAAAAACGGTTAAGCTGTTGTATTTATAAACTCTACATATGTTTTAGAAAAATAACTGTTTATTTTAGAGAAATAAATTTTTACCTCAGGGCCACCCCACGCACTGTTTCGCCAATCTACCATATACAACTAAGTCATCCTGCTCTTGCCAATCTACCATATACAACTAAGTCATCCTGCTCTTTGAGTCTAACTTAAGACTTCTAAGGTGACAGCTTTTGGTGGTGGCAAAAATAAGGAAGGCAAGGATGCAGCATGGCACACATCACCCCAGAACATTATGGAGATACCTTTACAGAGGTTACTCATAAAGGGGTCACATAGAGAAAAGAACAAAAAAGTTACAGCATGCAAAGCTTTACAGTTTTACACAAGGGAGCCAAAGGTCAGGTGCATAAATATCATGCTGAGTTTCAAGCCACAAACATCTGCATAATGCAAATCTTGAGCTTTGTATAGTCCATTATCAGCTATTATACAGAAACTTGTGCTATCAAACCGTTTTACCCCTACACTAAACCATGGCAGCCCAGAGACAAATATTTTACCTACTTTGCATATTTCCAAACATGAATAAACCTCCAGCCCCTACAAGAACAGAAATGAGTTCTCTAGGCATAGCTATCCCACCTTTTCAGTCTACATCTCACTATGGTACAACACAGAAACTATCAGCTTCTAGTCAACATCCATAGGTTTAGAGGCCCCCCAAGCAATACTTTTCCAAATAGGGGTACCTATCAGTCCCCATCAGCCCTAAGAGGACATCCCCAGAGGCCTCTGTGTTACTGCAGAAGCCTCTGGGACATGGAATCCCATCGTTTTGCACTTGGAACTGGCTGAGTAGAAACTCCATGCCTTCTTCATTGAATTCTTCAGCAGGGATTGGCCAGGGCACAGAGATAATTCCTGAGGAACTTGCATTTTGGGGGGGGGGGGGGTTGAGGATTGATGTTGTACCAAAGTTATCCAACTCCTCCACACCTCTCATTGAAGTTGGTTTTATCATGTCATAACATTCTTGAAAATTTGACTGATGCATTCAAATCCCTTAAGGTCAGCATACCTTAAGGACTGCCTTTCCCCTTATGA